AAAGACACAGTATAATGTCAGCACTCAATAGATGTCAATACTTGTGTCTTTTCTCTTACTCATCACAGTGAAATTGCCTTTTTGCAAATTGTGAATGGCCAGTTTCGGAAGTTCTAGGGTGAGTCTGTGAGCAGAAACGCTGGCCCTGGGATGGGCTGGCCCGCCTAGGAGCCAAATGGAAGGGAAGGGTGGATCGAGTTAGCATAGAAGGTAACTGTTTGGAGCCTGGGCTTGAGGGTCTATTTGCAAGTATAGATAAAAGGGATGCGTTAGGATGGAAGGAGGAGTAGGACATTTCCATTGGCAGAGATAGCTTTATATAATCAGAGCGAGGCAGTTGCAAACTAGACAGATGCTCAATCGCTTTTGGCACCAAAATATATTGACCAGCTGGGATATCATTAATGCTTAACAATTTTATCCTTATGACCACATCTTGGCCAATTAAGTTGTCTTTGACCACCAAAGGGTATAATATACTCTGCTGTAAATGCCCCATATGTATCAGTGTAGCTCATATTATATTGAAGTGTTGCATAATACACACCAACTATAAATGCATTTGCTCCTTCAAAACATCATGTTAGATGGCATAATTAGAGGCATGGAATTAAAATATAAATTAATTTCTTTAAAAATAATTAGTCGTTATTTTTTGAAACATTTGTAGATATGTGTGCACTGAAATTAAAAGATCCAAATCAAGTAATTTATTACAACAAATCTTTGAAGATTGTTACAAAACGGTAATCTGGTGGGGAATGCTGATCCGGCACTATCTATGCATGCAGATAAATACAGGCAGGAGAGAGGCAAGTCCTAAATGTCAGTGATTGAAAGACTCAGACAGAAGGCTGTCTGTGAAGTCAAAGAAACACATGGGCCAGCGTCATAAACCCATAAAGACATTTCAAAATGCTTGTAATCAATCTCCCCAAACTACCCTTTGCTTGAGATGGGCGAAGGCAATAAGGGTAAAGTGTAAGACATTTACACATCAGAGTGCTTCCCAGGATGGTATACACACTAACATTTAATACATTTAAAAATTGATATTTTCAGGACTTGTGACATTTTCTGAATACAGTTTGTCAAAAGCTTTAGACAATAGCAAAAATAGTCATCCAAGAACAGAAACATTATTTACTACCTAATTCAAAAGTGGTTGGATAAAGTATTTCACCTTTAAATTGTTTCAATTGTAAACCATTCACAATTTATTCAATTTGCCCTCTGCTGAATTTCTTGGTTATTTTATCTGGAGAGTGACCTTTAAGCTTGGTGCTGGTCGTGTATTTTTCCCTTACTCATAATATAAATACTTTTTAAACCATACTGAGTGTTCCTTTTTCTGGTGTGAACTGCTAAAAGTAGCACCAGTGTCCTTTCCTCAAGGCCAAAGACCTGGTATTAAGAACGTTATG